TCCTTAATACGATAAACTTTAGTAGACCAATTCATATCAGTTATGCGTCTTTTGCCAAATTCTAATTCTCCAGGTTCAAGTAAATATAAAACAGAATCTTTATAGCTTAATCGAGGTTCATTAAACCCAATAGGTCTTCGATGTTTTACAGATGGATCAGCAATTATTTTTTCACCTTTTAATGCCCTCTTTACAGCTTCATTAGGTGACATATGAATTAATCGAGTGGGAGTATCATTATAAATGTCATCATTAATACGAAGGCCTTTAACCCATGTTCTAGACCTATCAGACAAAGGTAATGAAAATCTATGGCATCTTGACGAATGAAAGCATGTTTTTCAAATTCTTGATGATCGTGCTCTGCTATAGCATTGCTTTCTTGGATTTTTTGGGATCGAAATATACGCCATGCTTTAATAATAAATCTTTACACTCAGCTAAATACTCAGTACCTTTATCAGTTCTAAAAACATTAGGCCAAGAAAGAGGATTATTAGGATCTTCATAAATTTTTTTTATTGCTTTAGCAACTGTAGAAGCCGATTTATTAGTTAATGCATAGCTTTTTCGATTTTTAGTTGCCACATCTTTTATTACAAGTCTATATTTAAAAACTCGATTACCAATTTTATCATGAGGCATAGGAGTAAGATTGGATTGATGCATTTCGTTTAAATTTTGAATTCCATTAAAAGATGCATACTGAATAAAACGTGGTCGAGGTTTATGAATCAAATACAATATCTGTTTTTCAAGGCATTCTTTTATATCATTTAATGAAAAATTATAACCAGCCTTTTTACAAGCATTATGCATTTTTTCAACAGTTCGATAGTACCCATCAGGTCGGTAATATAATTTTTGTAGAATAATTTCACGATCAAGATCATGAGCTCTTTGTGAGTCAATATAAATTACAGCTTCAATCATAACTTTTATTATTATAGTGAATAAAAAACTTGGAATATTTTTTCGAACATAAATAACTCCCAAGTTAAAATAGATGTTCACCTAACCCACGTATTCCGCAAATGCTCACCTTTTTTACCTATGTCCCATGTGCGTCTCAATACCACGAACCACATAACCGCAATAATTAACAGAGTAAGTAGCATATATGCTGATAGCGGTGACATCAAAGCACTTGCCACAATGGGAATTGTTCCTATTCCTCCTATCGGAATCTGGGAATTCGATTCAATCAAAGAGGACACATTATTTTCCGGCTGTGCAAGGTAAGGAGTCATATTCGGTATTTCTTGGAGTATATTGTTGTTAGTTTCACTAATATCGATTTCGTCACTTACCTTGGGAATAATCTCGGTATCTACTGTTGGAAATGAGGCATAGCCTTGAATTACTAATTCCTCAGATATAGAAGCACTTTTATCATCAGTGGGGTCTGGTATATCAGTATTGATTTTTCCAGCTCGATCCATACTTTTTTCACGTATAAAATATTGACTGAGATTTTTACTAGGTATATCAGATGCGATAGCATCATCACTCTGTGAGACAGAATTCGGTATTTTTTTTTCATCTGCCTTGCCACCGATCTTGATTGGTTCTGACAATAACTTGGATTCTAAGGAGTGTATCACAGAATTGGACAACTACTACCAGAACCTGGATCTCAACCTCACTATTTGCAGATTTATGTTTGGGATACTCAACAAATACCACGAACCACATAACCGCAATAATTAACAGGGTAAGTAGCATATATGCTGATAGCGGTGACATCAAAGCACTTGCCACAATGGGAATTGTTCCTATTCCTCCTATCGGAATCTGGGAATTCGATTCAATCAAAGAGGACACATTATTTTCCGGCTGTGCAAGGTAAGGAGTCATATTCGGTATTTCTTGGAGTATATTGTTGTTAGTTTCACTAATATCGATTTCGTCACTTACCTTGGGAATAATCTCGGTATCTACTGTTGGAAATGAGGCATAGCCTTGAATTACTAATTCCTCAGATATAGAAGCACTTTTATCATCAGTGGGGTCTGGTATATCAGTATTGATTTTTCCAGCTCGATCCATACTTTTTTCACGTATAAAATATTGACTGAGATTTTTACTAGGTATATCAGATGCGATAGCATCATCACTCTGTGAGACAGAATTCGGTATTTTTTTTTCATCTGCCTTGCCACCGATCTTGATTGGTTCTGACGATAACTTGGATTCTAAGGAGTGTATCACAGAATTGGACAACTACTACCAGAACCTGGATCTCAACCTCACTATTTGCAGATTTATGTTTGGGATACTCAACATGAACTGCACCATCAAGCAAATGTTGTTCCTAATTCCAACCTTAACTCAACTATTTTACAATCTTTAAAGGACATGCTTGATGAAACAAACCCCTATGTTACTAATTTTCAATACATTTCTAATCTACCTGCTGAAAATATTGGTAATCAATCCATGGTTATTTGTGCTGATATTCCTGGTCTTAATCAAAGGACTCACAATGCCCCAACAGCATCCCAAGTAGCAGCAATCTGGATTAATGATGACATTCCCCAAAATGTGGCTCAGAAACGTGATATTGTATTGTATACACAGATGGATCAGCTTATTCACATCTCTGAGCTTAATGGATGCTATGATCCCTTAGCTTATCCACTTTTGTTTCCACATGGTGAACAGGGATGGGCTCCTAATCAAATTCCATACAGAGACATTCTTTCTGTCCCTGAAATGATGGATATTGATGAAAATCCTAATGATGAAAATAAACACAACATGGAACATGAGCATGATAATACCGGAATACAACATAGGAAATTTGTGAGTACAATGGAGTACTATGCATATCAATTTCAGATTTGGCCCAATTCCACCAATCTGCTTTTACAAGCAGGATGGCTTTTCCAACAGTACGTAGTTGATATGTATGTCAAAATTGAATCAGATCATTTAAACTTTCATTGACAGAACCAAAACAAAATCTGAAGTAATCTGTACCAAAGTCTTCAAGATGCAGTCTTGCATGGTGACAATAATCCACAACACATAGGTCAGAGAATACTACTCCCTTCTGTGTTCATTGGGAGTCCTCGTGACATGATGCAGAGATATCAAGATGCAATGGCCTTGATGCACATTGGTAGACCTGATTTATTCATAACCATGACATGCAACCCAAACTGGCAGGGAATTCAAATTCTGTTGCAACCTGGACAAAGGGCTCAAGATCGACCAGATATCACAGGTACTTTTTTTATCATATTATTACTTGACTAATTCATAACACCACATTAATGAATTCTTTTTGCTTTTCATTATAATCATAGCATGGATTTTTCAAGAGAAATTTCAAGAGTTAAAGAAAGATATTTTTGAATGTGGAGTCCTTGGACAAGTCATTGCATACATACATGTCATTGAGTTTCAGAAATGGGGTCTTCCACATGCACACATTTTGGTTATACTCCACCCAGAAGATAAACCACAAACTCCTGATGACTATGATAGTATTGTCTGTGCTGAAATACCTGATCCAGTAGTCAATCCCAATGTGCATGCCACAGTTGTTACCAACATGTTCCATGGACCATGTGGAGAGCTTAATCCCAATTCACCATGCATGGTTGATGATGGTACAGGGCACAAACGATGTTCCAAAGGATATCCTAAGCAATTTAGGGATGAAACTCTTCAAGGAGAAGACTTCTACCCTGCATACCGTCGCAGACAAGATGATCATTATGTTAAAGCAAGAGTAGGAAATCAAGAAATCCTGTTGGATAATTGATGGATTGTCCCTTACAATAAATTCCTTTGTGCAAAACACAATTGTCATATCAATGTAGAGATCTGTGCCAGCATCAAGGCAATAAAATATTTATTTAAGTATGTCTATAAAGGTCATGATAGAGCAATGATTGAAATACAAAATCAGCCAGTTGTGATTGATGAGATTTGAGATTTTGTTGAGGCCTGCTGGGTTTCAGCTTCAGAAGCTGTCTGGAGGATTCTGGGATTTGATATGAGTGGAATAAATCCTGCTGTCACACATTTGCAGGTACATCTTCCCAATCAACAAAGAGTTATTTTCAATGAAGATGTTAATTTAGTAGTAGTTGCAACCAGTCGAATTCAACAAACATCACTCACTGAATACTTTAAAATGAACAATCAAGATCCAGATGCAAGGAACTTGCTCTATTCTGATTTTCCCATGTATTACACATGGAATAAGGCAACCAAATCATTAAAAAAACGTCAGCATGGAGGTTGCATTGGAAGAATATACATGGCTCATCCAAGTGAGGGTGAGTGATATTATCTTCGTTTACTGTTAACAAAGGTGAAAGGAGCCAGGAGTTTTGAAGAACTTAAGATTGTAGATGGTGTTACTTGTGCCACTTTTAAAGAGAGTGCTCAATGGAGGGGTTTCCTAGAAAATGACAATGAATATCAACAATGTATGACTGAAGCTAGAGAATTCCAGATGCCTAGCCAACTACGTTATCTTTTTGCAACATTATTAGTCTTTGGAAATGTTTCAGATGTACATCAACTATGGACTGAGAACCTTGAAGCAATGGCAAAAGATTTTGCACATAATGGAATCCCAGAAGGTGAACTCCAAGTTCAGGCAGTTCTTCAAAACTTGAATATGTTCCTACAAAGGCATTCAAAGACTGTAGCTGATTATGACCTGCCAGAATTATCACCAGAAACAAATGTTTTGGGATTGCTAAAAACTCTTCTAGAAGAATTATCCTATCATGTCACCTCAGATGATCTTGCAAAAGCAAATATATACATTAAATGAAGCCCAACGTGCAGTATTTGTTGAAATACAGAATCTCATAAACCAAAACAAAGGAGGTGTATTGTTTGTTGATGGTCCTGCTGGAAGTGGAAAAACCTATCTCTATGATGGCCTCCTTGCCTATGTACAAGCTAATAATAGGATTGCGTTGGCAGTAGCTTCTTCTGGTATTGCATCATTATTATTGCATGGTGGACACACAACACATTCTTGCTTCAAGGTACCAATTCCAACAGGAGAGACCATTCTGGGAACACAAAAATTAACAGGAGGGAACACAAAATTTTAACCCATGCTATTTGTTGATT